TCCAAGATTATCTTCTGTGTCTGTGTTAATTGGTTTCCCTTTTCTTTGTTGAAGAGGGTCTGTGCAATCCTTCTGCCTAGTCCGCCATCTTGCCCCGCCACATTAGAAACTTTTGAACTGGTATGTGTTTTGCTGTGCATATTCTCAGCAACAACAAAAAGAGTTTATACACTATGGGGAGGAAAGGACGGGAGCTGTTGCATTGTGGTAAACTGTGGTCTATGACATGAGACAAAATATATGTGAATTATTGTATGGAAAGTGAATTTGCTCTGTAAATCTTCACCCAAATCACAATTAAAAAAAAATAAAAAATAAATTAAAGAAAGAGTTTACACAGAGGGAAGTACCCTAGATACCAGGTTCCCACTTAGGTTAGGGAGGACTCACGTGAAAGGTAAAGGAAACTGTCAAGTACCTCTTATTCCTCTCATTTTTCTTATTTGAAGCAATGCTATAATGACAACTCCAAGCTCTAAATTAATCATGTGAATTTTCTATCCTATGATCATTTACAATCTACTTCTGTAAAGATTTACCACCTTGGAAACCTGGTGGGGATCACTATGAGTCAGAATCAATTCAATGGCATTGAGTTTGGTTTTCTGGTATGATCATTTAATCTAAAAGATTAAGCTACATACTATCTTTTTATGTACTAGATAATCCCATTTCTGTCAAATCAATGAACATTAGGTTTTCTTCCCAAAACAGTGGTAGGAAGGGATTTCAATCCTGTTTTAATATCTGAGTTTAATCTGGTCCTGTACGTCTTCAGTCTTATTTTTGTTTTAGAAAAAGATATTAAATACCAGTCAGAATAATATTTTTATAAAATAACTCAGTAGCTAATTTACTTGTAAACTATCAACTTTACAAATAGGTATTTCTGACTTTATCAATTATTTATAAAGCATTTTCACATAATAGTTATGCATTTGTGCCAATCCCTAACTTTTCATCTTATGTCAAGGTATAAGGAAGGAAAATATGAAAAGGAAGCTCCTTAGAGAAACCTGAATTACTTAGATATGTAACTTAGCCTAGCATATCACATTTACCCAGTATCCTAGACAAAAATTTTTTATTTACTTTGAAAATATTATAAAGATTAACTCTTAAACATCATAAAAAATCACATTTTTTCTGCTAAATAGTTTACCTAAAACTTCCCTTTCACCAGGGTGGTTTACTGCCATTTTGGACAGCTGCAACAAGCTCACAACTAGCTTCACCAAAATGCCATCTTGTGGGTTTTCTAGGAGCAGTTAGGAAAAAAAAAAAAAAAAATTAGTTTAAATTATTGAGACAATACTTTTTTCTTAAAATACACACAAACATTATCTGACTAGAAAATATTCATGAAGCTTAGAAAAGGATTTCCGTCATGAATAGGTCAAAAATTTTGCATTGTATATATTTGAACTTGCTTATAAAAACAAATCCATGTGGAAGTCACCACCAATATCTGGTAGAGAGAGAAAGATGTCTTCAATAAGTTGTGTGAGAAGTCAATACCTTAACAAAATCATAAACAGAAACAGAAAAATCATTTAACAATAAAGTTAGAAGGGACCTTGAGAAACTTCTTGGTTTATTGTCTTCTTACACCTAGAACATACACAAGCATCATCCAATATGCTTTCTGCTGATGGCAGAAATGTTGGCAATGTTCTGTAATCTACACTATCCAACACAGCAGCTAGCCACATGTTACTATAGGGAACTTAAAATTTAAAAGAAATTAAAAATTTATTTAATTTTTAATTAATTTAAAATTTAATTTAGATTGAATATAGCTAGTGGCTATATTGGATAAAGCTAGTCTAGAACAATAAAATACTCAAATACAGGAAACAAGGAATAAAGTGTTCATATAGAACATAGACACAAAATATTCAAACAAATATATTAGAAACGGAGATCACATGGTCAAAACCAAAACTAGTTTTAAAAAAATACTGAGGATAGACTTCCAGTAAGATGGAGGACTAGGCAGACAAGCAACAAAGACCCTCTTCAACAAAGAAAAGAAAAACCAATTGACAGGGATACAGAAGATAATCCTGGAGCCCTGAGCTTTGAAAGGAACTATACAGAAGTAGATTAGGCACCAATTAGTGGAAAACCCAAACGAAAACAGTGAGTACAGAGACAGAGCTGTGGATTGTCAGCTACTCTGAAGGGACCGACAGCCTGAATATTTCCAAGTGGTATCGGGACCTGAGAATTGACCTAAAGTTCAGCCCTGGTCACCAAGGGATACAGGGACGACTGTGCTGGTGGCCTATGACTAGGAAGGGAAACAGCAAAGGAGACAACCTGAGCTGTTGACTTTCTGCTGTCCAGAGGGCACAGCCATTTTGATTGTTCACACGTGGAAGCCATTTTGAATATTTAAAATGCCCGAGGGTGCAGCCATTTTGAATGTTTACAAGTGGCGGCCATTTTGGATATATAAAGTGACTGAGGGTGCAGCCATTTGGAATCTTTACAAGTAGCAAACATTTTGGATTTTAATGTGATAGCATTCTCATGTGTATTTCAGGGACCTAAGAATAGGCATAGGCTCTGTTTGTGAAGGTCAGCAGGAACATAGCAGAGGCTGACAACAGGAAAAGAGACAGGTGGTGAGCGTATAAATGCTGTTAACTAGTGAACAGAGGAGCACAGTACCCTGCTTGTGTAGACAACATACAAACAAAACAAAGGAAATGAAAATTGTGGGCAAGTCACTCCAACATACAATCACCAATTAAATATAAACACAAAAACGTCACAATGCCTCGGAGACAACAGAGCATCACAGTCCATACAAAGAAGCAAGATAAAGCAAGGAGAAACACGGGACCAGGATACTGACCCAAAACGCATCCCTGAGGAAGACACAGCACTGGAACTCTCTGATAAGAAATTCAAAAGAATTATATTTAGGTATCTTCAACGAATTGAGAGACAGATCAAGGAAAACAGAGAAAACCCTAGAACAATTTCAAAAGACAATACAACAACAAAACGACAAAATAAATGAAAAATGAGAAATGATACAAAATCTACACACAGAAATCCAGAAGATTAATACTAAATTTTCAGAAATAGATAAGATATTGAATGGGCAAAGGAGTAGAACTGAATCAATGGAAGACAGAATGAGGGAGATTGAAGGCAAATACCAGAATAGTTCTTTGGAAAGAGATAAATCAGAAAAAAAAGATCAAAACAAAATGAAGAAAGCCTAAGGTTCATGTGGGATAGCATCAAAAGGAATAACCTTCGTGTAATTTGAATTCCAGAACAGAAAGAGGCATATAAAACCACAGAGAAAACTGTCAAAGATTTGTTGGAAGAGAATTTTGTTGGTATGATGAAAGATGAGAATATATCCATTCAGGACATCCAACGAACCCCAAACAGGATAGAACCCAAAAGAAAATCACTAAGACATATCATCATCAAACTCACCAAAACCAAAGACAAAAAAGAAAGAATGATGAGAGCGGCATGGAAAAAACAAAAAGTAACCTACAAGGCACAATCAAGAAGACTAAGCTCTGATTTCTAAGCAGAAACCATGCAGACGAGAAAATAATGGGATGGTATATATAAAACCCTGAAAGAGAAAATCTCCAACCAAGAAATATGTACCCAGCAAAATTGTCCTTCAAATATGATGGTGAAATCAGGGCATTTCCAGAGAAGCAGAAATTAAGGGAATTTGTTAAAACCAGACCAACCTTACAAGAGATGCTTAAGGGAGCCCTCTGGACAGAGAAGCAACAAGAGCAAACAACAACCGACAATTAACACACATGATGATATAACCAAGAAATCAACCCAGCTATGGAAGTATCTAAAGTAAATAAACCTACAAGATTATAAACAGAAAACCAGAGACATCAATTGACAAATGAGGACAACTACAAACCACAAAGAGGGAAAAAAACTGTGTCTACAGAACTTTTAGATGGTAGGGAAGTCAAGACAACTACAAGATAGAATTGACTGTTCTAAACTTGGATAGGAAACTATAAATCACAGGGTAACCTTAAAGAAAAATGATAAACCTTCACATCAAAAAACAAGACCAGCATAAATATTCAGCAAATATTAAAACAATAGCAATGAAGGAAGTGATAACACGATTCATAAACAAAATGAGCTCAGCATAGAAAATCATATGGAACAAAGAAATGGACACCACGAAAAAGCACATAACAAAAATGACAGCAACAAATTCATATTTGCCAATAATTACATATCTGGCAAGGGATTTATCTCTAAGATTTATAGA